AATCAGTACCGAAAACCGAAGACTTATAAATACGTAATTTTTTCCATCAAATTAAAGCGGATAAATGAACGATTCGTATTAATTTTCCTGTTTTCTTATAGAGCAATGAAAGACTAATCAGTACCGAAAATCGAAAATCGATTAATACCGTAAATCAGTGTCAGAGAATTGTCCAAGTGCAATGACAATTTGTTCTTATTTTTCAGGTACTTACCCCTTTAATTTACTTAACAAATTAATTCTGTTAAACGAACGATCCGTATCAATTTTTCTTTTCTTATAAAGAAATGACAAAATAAATCAGTACCGAAAACCGAAGACCGATCAATACGTATTTTTCCATCAAATTAACGCGGATAAATGAACGATTCGTATTAATTTTCTGTTTTCTTATAGAGAAATGAAAGAGTAAATCAGTACTGAAAATCGAATATCGATTAATACCGTAAATCAGTGTCAGAGAATTGTCCAAGTGCAATGACAATTTGTTCTTATTTTTCAGGTACTTACCCCTTTAATTTACTTAACAAATTAACTCTTTTAAACGAACGATCCGTATCAATATTTCTTTTCTTATAAAGAAATGACAAAATAAATCAGTACCGAAAACCGAAGACCGATCAATACGTAATTTTTCCACCAAATTAACGCGGATAAATGAACGATTCGTATTAATTTTTTGTTTTCTTATAGAGAAATGAAAGAGTAAATCAGTACCGAAAATGGAATATCGATTAATACCGTAAATCAGTGTCAGAGAATTGTCCAAGTGCAATGACAATTTGTTCTTATTTTTCAGGTACTTACCCCTTTAATTTACTTAACAAATTAACTCTTTTAAACGAACGATCCGTATCAATATTTCTTTTCTTATAAAGAAATGACAAAATAAATCAGTACCGAAAACCGAAGACCGATCAATACGTAATTTTTCCACCAAATTAACGCGGATAAATGAACGATTCGTATTAATTTTTTGTTTTCTTATAGAGAAATGAAAGAGTAAATCAGTACCGAAAATGGAATATCGATTAATACCGTAAATCAGTGTCAGAGAATTGTCCAAGTGCAATGACAATTTGTTCTTATTTTTCAGGTACTTACCCCTTTAATTTACTTAACAAATTAACTGTGTTAAACGCACGATCCGTATCAATTTTTCTTTTCTTATAAAGAAATGAGAGTATAAATCAGTATCGAAAACCGAAGACCGATCAATACGTAATTTTTCCATCAAATTAACGCGGATAAATGAACGATTCGTATTAATTTTCTGTTTTCTTATAGAGAAATGAAAGAGTAAATCAGTACTGAAAATCGAATATCGATTAATACCGTAAATCAGTGTCAGAGAATTGTCCAAGTGCAATGACAATTTGTTCTTATTTTTCAGGTACTTACCCCTTTAATTTACTTAACAAATTAACTCTTTTAAACGAACGATCCGTATCAATATTTCTTTTCTTATAAAGAAATGACAAAATAAATCAGTACCGAAAACCGAAGACCGATCAATACGTAATTTTTCCACCAAATTAACGCGGATAAATGAACGATTCGTATTAATTTTCTGTTTTCTTATAGAGAAATGAAAGAGTAAATCAGTACCGAAAATGGAATATCGATTAATACCGTAAATCAGTGTCAGAGAATTGTCCAAGTGCAATGACAATTTGTTCTTATTTTTCAGGTACTTACCCCTTTAATTTACTTAACAAATTAACTCTTTTAAACGAACGATCCGTATCAATTTTTCTTTTCTTATAAAGAAATGAGAGAATAAATCAGTACCGAAAACCGAAGACCGATCAATACGTAATTTTTCCATCAAATTAACGCGGATAAATGAACGATTCGTATTAATTTTCTGTTTTCTTATAGAGAAATGAAAGAGTAAATCAGTACTGAAAATCGAATATCGATTAATACCGTAAATCAGTGTCAGAGAATTGTCCAAGTGCAATGACAATTTGTTCTTATTTTTCAGGTACTTACCCCTCTAATTTACTTAACAAATTAACTCTGTTAAACGAACGATCCGTATCAATTTTTCTTCTCTTATAAAGAAATGAGAGAATAAATCAGTACCGAAAACCGAAGACTGATCAATACCATAAATCAATGTCGAGAAAATTGTCAAAGTGCAATGACAATTTGTTCTCATTTTTCAGGTACTTACCCCTCTAATTTACTCAACAAATTAACTGGGTTAAACGACCGGTCCGTATCAATTTTTCTTTTCTTATAAAGAAATGAGAGAATAAATCAGTACCGAAAACCGGAGACCGATCAATACCTAATTTTTTCATCAGATTAACGCAGATAAATGAACGATTCGTATTAATTTTCTGTTTTCTTATAGAGATATGAAAGAGTAACTCAGTACCGAAAATCGAATATCGATCAATACCGTAAATCAATGTCAAGAAAATTATCCAAGTGCAATGACAATTTGTTCTCAATCTTCAGGTACTTACCCCTCTAAACTTATTCAAGAAATTAACTCGGATAAACGAACGATTGGTATCAATTTTTCTTCTCTTATAAAGAAATGAGAGAATAAATCAGTACCGAAAACCGAAGACCGATCAATACGTAATTTTTCCATAAAACAAACGCGGATAAAAGAACGATTCGTATTAATTTTCTGTTTTCTTATAGAGAAATGAAAGAGTAAATCAGTACCGAAAATCGAATATCGATTAATACCGTAAATCAATGTCAGGAAATTGTCCATGTGCAATGACAATTTGTTCTCATGTTTCGGGTGTTTATCTTTCTAATTTACTCAACAAATTAACTCGAATAAACGATTGATTTGTATCAATTTTTCTTGTCTTATAGAGAAATGAGAGAATAAATCAGTACCGAAAATTGAAGACCGATCAATATTTAATGTATTCATCAAATTAACGCGGATAAATGAACGAGTCGTATCAATTTTATTTTCTTGTAGAGGAATGAAAGAGTAAATCAGTACTGAAAATCGAATATCGATCAATACCATAAATCAGTGTCAGAAGATTGTCCAAGTGCAATGACAATTCGTTCTCATTCCCGAGTCTTTCCCGAGTCGAAATATTAATTCTACATTGATCCTGCAAATTGCATCCAATTTGAAAAATCATTGCAGAATATCTAGATGCGCAATAGTGAACAAGCTTTGTCTTACCTGAACGTTACATCTGGCTACTCTCGCAGTCTCGCCCATGATGAGTCTTCAGCAGCGACGTATTCCGCAGTTATTTAATACTCGTTTATCTCGATAATGTATATGTACTTAATCCTTATATTCTTAATTTAAATGAGCAATTTTTGTTGATATTGATTATATATTTGCTTAACAGCGCAAGAAAGAGAACAAAGATAAACACGTAAATAGAACTGTCTTTGTTAGAACTGCGCGTGAGATAAATATATAAGGATTAAATAATCATATTAGAATTAGAGGTAATGGGGAGATGAGAAACACTTAATTCTCATCATTCTTAAAGTTATTTTTTTCTTTTTTCTTCTCTTTTTTTTCTTTTCTTTTTTCTAATGAGAATGATGAGAATTGTAGCTCTTAAAAGAGCTGAAGCTGCAAAAAGACAACGGTTATGTCTAATAATGCTGTTTCACTAATAGAGATTTTAATTCAGATTCGGTACAATAGGAAAGATAAACAAGAATGAGAAACGGACATTCTAGCAGATTCTAAACGAAAACAGCAATCTGAGCATTATTAGACGAATAAAAATCAACACTTATAAAATTGATATCAGATTCTAAGATCATTATTCATAGTTTTCTAAATTATGTGCAATTTTTCATTGAGAATATAATTAAAAATTTGTATTCATAAACCTTAGCTTGACTCAGCAACCTTGCTTGAATAGACATTCATATTTTATGAGAAAAGAAAAGTAGAACTCATGTTACGTGAAATTAGGTTAACGAATAATCAAATCTCAAACTATTTTATCATTTTTCAGATGATAAACTATGAATGCTGATCTAATTTCGACTCGGGTATGTCCTTACTTCGAGTAAGGTCCGTTAAAATCAGAAAAATCTTACGTAATAATAATGACTCGAGATACCTCGAATACCATATATGATGTATCGCTGTCCACGTCTCTCGGCGCGCTCCAAGTCTTCTCTGCATCCTGACTTCTCGATCCGACGTCCTCCTTCTGGTTACTCCGTCGCAGCACCCCCGGATACTCCATTGTAGCACTGGCGACGACACTGACTCTAGCTCTAACACTCGCGCAAGTAAGATTCGGGGACAAAGAAACGCGTATTAACCGATTACTCTGCGTCGCGGTATGCGCGTCGTTCGTCGGCCCGAAGCGCAATGTCCTTTCCGCAATCACGGAGTCATATATAAGCGTACGAAAACAAACAATCGGGAAGGCACGGTTACCCCCCACCAGTCGCTGACCTTGCCGATCAATGTTGATGCCTGCGTCGTCCGTTAGCTGAAAATGAAAACAACTCGTGTTTTCAAAGCATGCCTGTGAGAGACTCGCTTCAAACTTCACAATACTTGTTTACGTCTGTTCCAAGAATCATATTACGCCGAATTCAAACTGTCTCTATTGACACGACATAGACGAGATCTGCGATCGCATTATTGATCTTTCTTTGGACAAGAAAATCTTGAGAAGAACGCTGTTCGAGAATATCACATTTTATGTTTCAGGTGCCTTGCAGATTATCGAATCTGATGTAACAGATCAGCGGTGCAATTCTTTAACTCGTTATTGGAGTTAACGACACTTTCGTTATCGTTGCGCAGCTTTTCTATACCGTAGAATTAGTGCGCTTTGATCTTGAAGTCAATAGTTTATCGTGCATGAATCCATTGTGTGCAAGACAGAGAGAGAGAGAGAGAGAGAGAGAGAGAGAGAGAGAGAGAGAGAGAGAGAGAGAGAGAGAAATAGAAGACACGCGCGGCGTGTGAATTATCAAATATTAATCGCGCTTAAGCAATGTTTTCTTTTCGGTAGGATGGAGTCACATATGAACGAGATTCTTGTCGTTCCATAACAGTTGCCGTTTCCTCAAAGCCCTCGACGATGGAACGACAGACACAGACCGAGCTTATTTTGCCACTGTGGCGACAATTTCTGTACTGCTTGGCGGGCGACGATGCGTTCAGGTATCTTTACGCGTATTTATTAATATTTAAATAGATTTCCTGTATATTTTCGTCCACCGTTTATAATCTAATATTCTTTTAATTCAAAAAAGTCAATCTTATATTTATTATTTATTCTTTTTTGTTTATCTGTTATTTGTTATTTTTATCAACTAGATATCGGTCTTAATTATCTGCTCTAATAAATAATAAATATTAAATATTGATGATAAATTTACATGTGATATTATTTCTGTATTCTGTATTTATCTATGTTATCAGTGTAAAATAAAACTATAATTAATATTTAAAATCGCAGACGCCGTCGACAACGCGAAGCAGCCAGTAGTTATCGAAAATATGGCGATCGGCTGTCGAGGCACATAAACAGCGTGTCTTACATCGACAGGGTGGCTCGCATAGTCTTCCCCGCGTCTTTCGGCCTACTCAACGTCTGCTACTGGGTGGTCTACGTTACCTATCAGGAGGAATTTAAGTGGCAGGACCCGCCGATCGGATCGATCTCTCATTAACGAATTTTCCATTGTGATAATAAAGCGAACGATACAATGTGAGCCAAGAAAAATTAGAAGGCATATGTGCATATTCGTCCTTTACTTCAGACCGATTTACGCCAAATTTTGTTGAGAGTTGTGTTTCTATCTTATTGCAATAGTATATTAGATAGCTCTGTTCTCAAACTCTTCGCTGTTTCGCGATCGCGTTAGCTGTATGACGTTAAATATTTTCAAATTTAATTTCATTATTTATATACATCTATAAAATAAAATACTTTTAATTTAAACCCCAAATTTAAATTTATACATTCAAATTTTCTATTATGAAAATCGTGATTGATTTACTGAAAAAATAAAATTTTATCAGATCTATCGTTATATCGCACTATTTAAAAATTAAAACACCTTATAGTCCTGAACTCTTCCCTTCAATTATTGTGCCAAAAATTTGTGGTATAATATTTTTTATTAAACTAATTTTAGTCAAGACTCAAACCACAATTTACCAGCTTCCAAAAAATTTAGTGGAAACTATGCCAACTATTTTCTACAAACTTTTAGAAATGCATTTGATAATACTTGTCAAATTGTATAAGGTAGTGCCATTTTTTAATTTTTTTCTCTACTGAAAATGCGTGAAAATAATTGTCTTTCAGAGCCCTTATTTTCGAAAATTTGTAAAAGAAATCATCATACGACATTTCATCAATAGAATTAACAATTTAATTGGCGGAGGATCGTGATATCCTCCGAATACAAATCTAAAAGTTCGCAAAAAGCATCTGGTTTTGATTTTCATCTTCTTATAAAATTTACGAAAATTTAAACCAGGCGTTTTTTGTGAACTTTTATAATAGCAGTACTATCGAATGCAATTCTAAAAGTTAAAAAAAACGCCCGATTATTATAATGTCGCAAGAGAATGGATCGACTGTGATTGGTCAGTTTTCTTACAACCTTACGGTTACGGTTAAATTTTTTCTACGTGTGATGGCCTTAAGTTGCAAATACGTTTTGTATCGCACGCTGTGCGTGCCCAATTACGCGTAAGTTTTAATAACCGTGCGTGCAGCTTACGCACTTTTAACTTACGCGTAGATTTCAACAATTGTGCGCGCAGCGCGCGATGCAAAACGCACTTGCAACTTACGCGTAGGTTTAATTGTTCATAAAATCTTGGCGCGGCTGCATCAAAAACTATATCGAACTAAAACTTGTTTAATACATATATGACAACATTTTTATTATAATATATTCTATAATGAAGGTTTATAATTTATTTATTATAATACTATATAAACTTAAATAAAACATTATGCCGTATATGTATAAAGAGAATTTACAAGAACATTTTATTATAATAAAAATGCTGTCATATATGTATTAAATGAGTTTTAGTTATGTTATGTTAGGTTTCTCAGTTGGCGCTACTGTCCTAATATATCATTTCTTTTGTACAGTAGAAAAGCGTTGCAGAGTTTTATTATAGTTATAAGTTTTACTTGTAAAAAAACTTATGTACACATATATACAATAAAAAAATAATTTGAGTTTGATACTTCTAAAAATAACACAATACGTGTTACGCTTGTACTTGGCGCTTTTTTTTTACCTTTTTGTTTAAAAAGGTAAGTTTTATATAATATTAAATATACGTACGTTTCACGTATAACGTGATTGACTTGGAGTACTCCGTGTCCACGCGTGTTATTCATAGCGACGCATTCATACTTTCCCTGTGGTGCGAGTGGTTTCGTTATCGTTGCGCAGCTTTTCTACGGTATAGAAAAGCTGCGCAACGATAACGAAAGTGTCGTTAACTCCAATAACGAGTTAAAGAATCGCGCCGCTGATCTGTTACATCGGATTCGATAATCTGCAAGGCACCTGAAACATAAAATGTGATATTCTCGAACAGCGTTCTTCTCAGGATTTTCTTGTCCAAAGAAAGATCAATAATGCGATCGCAGATCTCGTCTATGTCATGTCAATAGAGACAGTTTGAATTCGGCGTAATATGATTCTTGGAACAGACGTAAACAAGTATTGTGAAGTTTGAAGCGAGTCTCTCACAGGCATGCTTTGAAAACACGAGTTGTTTTCATTTTCAGCTAACGGACGACGCAGGCATCAACATTGATCGGCAAGATCAGCGACTGGTGGGGGGTAACCGTGCCTTCCCGATTGTTTGTTTTCGTACGCTTATATATGACTCCGTGATTGCGGAAAGGACATTGCGCCTCGGGCCGACGAACGACGCGCATACCGCGACGCAGAGTAATCGGTTTACGCGTTTCTTTGTCCCCGAATCTTACTTGCGCGAGTGTTAGAGCTAGAGTCAGTGTCGTCGCCAGTGCTACGATGGAGTATCCGGGGGTGCTGCGACGGAGTAACCAGAAGGAGGACGTCGGATCGAGAAGTCAGGATGCAGAGAAGACTTGGAGCGCGCCGAGAGACGTGGACAGCGATACATCATATATGGTATTCGAGGTATCTCGAGTCATTATTATTACGCAAGATATTTCTGATTTTAACGGACCTTACTCGAAGTAAGGACATACCCGAGTCGAAATTAGATCAGCATTCATAGTTTATCATCTGAAAAATGATAAAATAGTTTGATATTTGATTATTCGTTAACCTAATTTCACGTGACATGAGTTCTACTTTTCTTTTCTCATAAAATATGAATGTCTATTCAAGCAAGGTTGCTGAGTCAAGCTAAGGTTTATGAATACAAATTTTTAATTATATTCTCAATGAAAAATTGCACATAATTTAGAAAACTATGAATAATGATCTTAGAATCTGATATCAATTTTATAAGTGTTGATTTTTATTCGTCTAATAATGCTCAGATTGCTGTTTTCGTTTAGAATCTGCTAGAATGTCCGTTTCTCATTCTTGTTTATCTTTCCTATTGTACCGAATCTGAATTAAAATCTCTATTAGTGAAACAGCATTATTAGACATAACCGTTGTCTTTTTGCAGCTTCAGCTCTTTTAAGAGCTACAATTCTCATCATTCTCATTAGAAAAAAGAAAAGAAAAAAAAGAGAAGAAAAAAGAAAAAAATAACTTTAAGAATGATGAGAATTAAGTGTTTCTCATCTCCCCATTACCTCTAATTCTAATATGATTATTTAATCCTTATATATTTATCTCACGCGCAGTTCTAACAAAGACAGTTCTATTTACGTGTTTATCTTTGTTCTCTTTCTTGCGCTGTTAAGCAAATATATAATCAATATCAACAAAAATTGCTCATTTAAATTAAGAATATAAGGATTAAGTACATATACATTATCGAGATAAACGAGTATTAAATAACTGCGGAATACGTCGCTGCTGAAGACTCATCATGGGCGAGACTGCGAGAGTAGCCAGATGTAACGTTCAGGTAAGACAAAGCTTGTTCACTATTGCGCATCTAGATATTCTGCAATGATTTTTCAAATTGGATGCAATTTGCAGGATCAATGTAGAATTAATATTTCGACTCGGGAAAGACTCGGGAATGAGAACGAATTGTCATTGCACTTGGACAATCTTCTGACACTGATTTATGGTATTGATCGATATTCGATTTTCAGTACTGATTTACTCTTTCATTCCTCTACAAGAAAATAAAATTGATACGACTCGTTCATTTATCCGCGTTAATTTGATGAATACATTAAATATTGATCGGTCTTCAATTTTCGGTACTGATTTATTCTCTCATTTCTCTATAAGACAAGAAAAATTGATACAAATCAATCGTTTATTCGAGTTAATTTGTTGAGTAAATTAGAAAGATAAACACCCGAAACATGAGAACAAATTGTCATTGCACATGGACAATTTCCTGACATTGATTTACGGTATTAATCGATATTCGATTTTCGGTACTGATTTACTCTTTCATTTCTCTATAAGAAAACAGAAAATTAATACGAATCGTTCTTTTATCCGCGTTTGTTTTATGGAAAAATTACGTATTGATCGGTCTTCGGTTTTCGGTACTGATTTATTCTCTCATTTCTTTATAAGAGAAGAAAAATTGATACGGATCGTTCGTTTAACAGAATTAATTTGTTAAGTAAATTAAAGGGGTAAGTACCTGAAAAATAAGAACAAATTGTCATTGCACTTGGACAATTCTCTGACACTGATTTACGGTATTAATCGATATTCGATTTTCGGTACTGATTTACTCTTTCATTTCTCTATAAGAAAACAGAAAATTAATACGAATCGTTCTTTTATCCGCGTTTGTTTTATAGAAAAATTACGTATTGATCGGTCTTCGGTTTTCGGTACTGATTTATTCTCTCATTTCTTTATAAGAAAAGAAAAATTGATACGGATCGTTCGTTTAACAGAGTTAATTTGTTAAGTAAATTAGAGGGGTAAGTACCTGAAAAATAAGAGCAAATTGTCATTGCACTTGGACAATTATCTGACACTGATTTACGGTATTAATCGATATTCGATTTTCGGTACTGATTTACTCTTTCATTTCTCTATAAGAAAACAGAAAATTAATACGAATCGTTCATTTATCCGCGTTAATTTGATGGAAAAATTACGTATTGATCGGTCTTCGGTTTTCGATACTGATTTATACTCTCATTTCTTTATAAGAAAAGAAAAATTGATACGGATCGTGCGTTTAACACAGTTAATTTGTTAAGTAAATTAAAGGGGTAAGTACCTGAAAAATAAGAACAAATTGTCATTGCACTTGGACAATTCTCTGACACTGATTTACGGTATTAATCGATATTCGATTTTCGGTACTGATTTACTCTTTCATTTCTCTATAAGAAAACAGAAAATTAATACGAATCGTTCATTTATCCGCGTTAATTTGATGGAAAAATTACGTATTGATCGGTCTTCGGTTTTCGATACTGATTTATACTCTCATTTCTTTATAAGAAAAGAAAAATTGATACGGATCGTGCGTTTAACACAGTTAATTTGTTAAGTAAATTAAAGGGGTAAGTACCTGAAAAATAAGAACAAATTGTCATTGCACTTGGACAATTCTCTGACACTGATTTACGGTATTAATCGATATTCGATTTTCGGTACTGATTTACTCTTTCATTTCTCTATAAGAAAACAGAAAATTAATACGAATCGTTCATTTATCCGCGTTTGTTTGATGGAAAAATTACGTATTGATCGGTCTTCGGTTTTCGGTACTGATTTATTCTCTCATTTCTTTA